CTGAGTGCGCGTGTTTTTTTTTTATGTTTTCAAAAATATAATTTTTGATATTTTCATATTTTGGCATTGTTTTCAAAACGGGATAGTAAAAAAAACGAAAACACATCTCAAACGGGTTATTATTGTTTTTAGCAAAAAATGGAAAAAAGAAAAAATACCAAACGCTACCTAAAATATCACTATATAGGCTTAAGAGTGGACCAACCTTAATCATCTAAACTTACGAGTTTTAATTGATTTATGTTATTTGGGNCTACCTAAAATATCACTATATAGGCTTAAGAGTGGACCAACCTTAATCATCTAAACTTACGAGTTTTAATTGATTTATGTTATTTGGGCTTATGTAATTTAAGTCCATAATAATTTAAGTTTAGAAGCTTGTTTAATTAAATTTGGGTCGGAATTATTTAGGTTTATGAAATTTAAGTCCAAACAAATTTGATTTTGAAAACTTGTTCAATTTTATTTGGATTTATTATTTGAACTTATAAAATTTATGGCTAACCCATTTTAATTTTAATAATATATTGAATTAATTTGAACCCAATTATAAACATAATTTATTTATTATTATTTTAATACTTACAAATGTGTTTAATACCCATGAGTGATATAATTGTTATGAATAACATAATATCATCGTTACTCTAAATGGTTGGTAAGAGCAAATTCCAATGGAACATACCACTGTACAAAGTTTCAATATTACATTACAAGTGCCGGAACACCCCTCCAGAGAAGTGCTTGGCCGGGGGAATCACCATTTGAATGCCTCTTTTCGCCTCCTGTGCCGGCAACGGCGTAATTAAACCACTTCCCTGGTGACCCCTTACCTCTATTCCGGCAGTGGGATGTCAGCCAGATCCTCCCTGTAAGGCACAGGCTCCAGCTCAGGCACGCTGTCGGCATCGCCTTGCCCGTGCTCCATTCTGATCTGGGCCATATCGTTCTTCGTTGGCTTACCGAACGTGACGACGGTGTCTTTCCGGAACATGAGATAGATGACAGTAAGGACATAGACAGCCATTAACGGGAATACTAGAATTCCGATGAACACATTTCCTATTTTTGGCAAACTGTTGTGAATTAGCCAGCCGACAAAGCCTGTGCTCAGGTAGTAGATGTTGATGCCAATTATTCCCAGTCCCAACAGCCAGGAGATCACGATAATCTGACATGATTAATTAAATGGGTTAAGTAAAAATTTATTAATATTTTATACAATTTNGGTGGGGGTGGGGGCGAGGGTAAGTGTCATTCCATCCTGCACAGGTTTATACGGATATCTCCGTATACGTCTACTGTTCAACACATATGGTCCATCCCCGATCCAAATATGACAGATTTTGACGAATATCCATTTTTTTTCGGTCCACTGTTATCCCTAATTGTGCCATGCNTTATACGGATATCTCCGTATACGTCTACTGTTCAACACATATGGTCCATCCCCGATCCAAATATGACAGATTTTGACGAATATCCATTTTTTTTCGGTCCACTGTTATCCCTAATTGTGCCATGCTCATATCTTTTTTTGTGTTACTCATGAACTAAAAATTGTGGTACTTGAATTTCCTTTTTTTCTCAATTAAATTCACCAAACATAGATCTTCTATAATCTATTTTATCTATAGCAAACAAAAAATGAAATAAAAAATATTTAATTATAAAATAATTTGTAAAAAATAAATATGCACTCGTTTTTTTTTACAATACCGATTAAAGTGGTTTATGAGATTAAAATCGCGCTATCTTGTTTATGAGAATAACTCACCCATTTAATATTTTTTCGGCAATAACACGTGCCTTAAGATACTCTATAATATTAAAAATCAAGCATTATAATACTTACATCTTAAATAATATTCTATTTTTCTTTTTTTTATTTAATTACATAAGTTAAAACGAAAGTAGATAAAAAAAATAAGAGAGATGTAGGAGAGAGAGTAGATGTGGATTAGTTGGGTTCATTTGGTGTCGAGAGTGTGTTAGTTAAGTTGAGAGTGTGTTAGTTAAGTTGATTTTTTGAACAGGAAAAAAAATTTTTGAAATGAAATTTATACTATTGTATCAAAATAGATAAAAATTATATAAAGTTTGACTGTTATTATATTTTTATAAGTTAAAAATCTAACTTCTAAACTATAATATTAGATAAATATTAAATGATGATGTCTTTTTGAATTCTTTTCTCGTGTTAATGTAACATGTCCAACACTAGTCTTGCAGTAAATATTCGATACAGCAGGGAGACTATATCATCGTTGTATAGTATTCCTATCGAACAAAAACTAATAAAATAAATAAAGTGAACTTCACTTCTAAGATCCAAATTCAACTGGATCAATAAACTAGCTAAACCAAAGTCAGCTAAAAGGATAAGTTAAGCCTAGTTCGTGAATTCGATTCAACCCAAAGTCCGAAGAGTCTAAGAAGAATTAGAGCACGTGAGAAAAAATTATCAGGATACTCACTCTCGAAGATCAACACAACCTTTTATGATACTTATCTTTTATAGACACCCGGAGAATCAGTACATTTACCCTCACGTCACCGCCTTAATCAAGGCCTTGTGTCTATAAATTATAAATTCTCTCTACATGAGAGGATACATTGAACTTTAACTCTACACATCTCTACACATATAGTTTTTCTCTCTTCTAGCTATTGTACCTCTTCCAGAGCTAACCATTACACTCTCTCTCGTTTATTTTACTTCATCAATAAAGATTCACCGACCACCGTTGTCGTTTTTCGAAGTAGAGTAGGTCACTCGAATCGAACTATTATATATCTGTGTGTTAATCCGATATTTACATTATTGTCATTAATTTTTTTATTTATTGTCCATTAATTACACCTTATCACACACTCGACTGTTAATATTACACAAGACTATTTTATGCATCATCAACTTTTATACTAGTTACAATATTAAATGAAAGGAGTAAGTACTAAATTATGTGAAATTCATGTCTTTACAAGTTACTTTTTATTGAATAGTAACACCATAAGATGGTAAGCACGTGGTGCACCATAACATTGAATATTTTCTTCTAGTATTGGAGAAACCATCATTGCAATGGTAATACCACATCATTACTTCGTGGTATCACCAATTAATTATTAAATAACATGCGGATTTAATAAATCTTAGTATTTTAAGAACTTTGAATAAGTACCGCATCAAATAACTAACATCCAAAAATAATGGAATTCGTGTTGTAATGACAAATTTCATGTATAAAATAACACAAAAATGATGTCAAATTACAATCGTTTGATTTGTTTGACTTTGATTAGAAAAGTGATGTTGACTCTTTTTGGCATACTTCTCACATATATTATCCTCTAATTCTCGACAGATTTGACGACGAGTTTTGTGAATCTGGTGAAGAAGAGGCTCGGGTTGACGATTTTTTTGATTTTTGATTTAATATTGACTTTTGTAGAATTTGATGAAAATGAGGGTCGGGTTGACGTGATTATCTATATTCGATTTGATGATGTTTCGGTGGATTTGATAAAAAAGAGGATTATATCAATGTGATTCTCGATTTTCGATTTAGTGTTGGTTTTGTTAAATCTTATCACCGTTCTTTGTGTTAATTGAGTTAAAAATGATTTGAATCTCTTTGAAGGACTTTGGAGGTGTACTCTTTTACTCATAGACGAATTTGCAGGAATTTGATTGGAAGTATACTCAGGTAGAGCCTAATCTTTCATTTTCTTTTGTAGATAGACTTGGGCAGAGCTTCCTTGGTTTTCCCTTTTCTTTGATTTCTCTTTTCTTAATCTCCTATTTATAGAGATGAGAGTTGTTATCCATATAAAGGTATTTTACTAAGGGTACGTTTGGTAACTTTTTCGTTTTTATGTTTTTTTTTTTGTGATAAAAATTAAAAATATAAAACATATTTGATAGTCATTTATATTTAAAAAATTATTAAAGCAAAAATAAAAAACCTGTTTGGTATTATACCAAAAATTCATCACCCAAACCCTGTCACCCAACCCCACCATCGAAACCCACCACTACAACCAACGAAACCCCCCCCCCCCCCCCCACAAA